CTTTATCTCTCCTTCATATGCCTTTGTCCCACTATTCATCCATCACTCATAACATGTCAAATAACACAGCTAGTATCTGTGCTTGCTAGAACAATTTATCTCAAAGACACTCAACACAGTTTCTTAGGTATAAGGATCTCTGCATACCACCTAAAACATTATTCAGCTTAGTCAACTGAGGACACCTGTAAACACCAAAGGCAATTCCCACAAGCATTTTACAAAAAGGAAAAACTTTCCACCCTAATGATGATCATAAATGTCTTATTCTGTATCACATTACTTTGAAGGCACTTTGCACTACTGTAATTAACTGCTACTATTCAAATTACTAATTATTTTGACCTTCATTAATCTATTTTCACTGATATAGAAGTAATAAAGTATTTGAAAGAGCAGGCTTTTTGTGCCATCAATATTTTGCTGTAAAACAGAAGAAGTCAAGTCTGTGCTAGTTCCGTTGTGTCCAAGGCAAACAAGAGTTCTCTGCAGGGGTATGGGAGGCTACTGTCAGTTTTCAGAGCCAGGCAAAATTTCTTGTTCCTCTGCTTTTCTCCTAATCCCAGGCCAAAGCACCAAAGACAATAAACTTGTGTGACACGCTTGTGAGTTCTGTGATCTGCATTAATAGTTAAAAGTTCATGCCAGTAACATTGACTAGACTGAGAACTTTCAAGCTGACTTTTCCAAAAATGTCTCTGGTTATTAGTAAATCAGGCAACTAGCCCTGCCAGAGCCTTCAGCATTCCTGAAATGAGAAGTATTTCAGCTCAAGTCATAGTTTTCTGTTCACACAGGTTTGTTAATCACTTTGCAGTGTTATACTTCAAAAGTTGAAGATTCAAAAGTTAGTTCTTGTTGTTTATAACGAAGAACAAAATGTGAAGATCAGACTACTTAACGATCGTCCAATGCTTAGCAGAAGAAAATGCTACTTCTCCCAAAGGAGATAAACAAAACACCAAGGATAAATTTCTCAGCAGAGCTGTTCTCTACAATGCTAAAAGAAGCTGTGAGCATCACGATAGGAGGAGGAAAACCTGCAGTCTCAAAAAGACAAGTTTGTCCCCATACACCCAGAAAACATTGATAAATGACTGTCAGAATCTAGTCATATTCCAGATCCAGGTGAGAATCATTTAAGTAAGTAGTAAAGGAAGCATCAGGCAGAAAAGAAACATTTGGGTCATAAATCTATCAAATTCAAGCAAGAGAACTCGAAGTCGTGAGCAATGTGAGCATCTCTAAATTGATCAGGCTATCTTCCCACCTGCTGTAAATCTGAACTGCTGTTCACAAGGGTTGAAAATAGCGCTTTGCCTGTATTTTTTAATAGAAGAAAAGAACTGCCCTCAAGTTGAACTCAGTCTGCAATACAAACATTACTGAAGGATACATGCAATACAATATAACTGAAAGATGCCTTTCCCTTACCAGAGATCATAAAAAAAGTACCTCACAAGGCATATTTGCTGACGCCTGGATTTCTTCCCACGTTGCAAGAACTACAATTATAATATACCCCAAGTTAGAAGAGGCACACAAGGATCATCGAGCATTTGAAAATACTGGTAATGCTGTTTGAACTCCAGGAGCTTGGTGCCGTGACCACTGCCAAGGGGAGCTTGTTCCCAAGCTTGATCACCTCCAGTGTAGAACCATTTCTTAAGCCCCAACCTGACCTTCCCTGAAGCAGTTGCAGATCACAGCACCTTTCAGCCTAAAAATGCCAGTAAGCAGCTTTGAGTTGTTCTAAGAGGAGACTTGAAGGGACTCGATGATACTGTACACTGGTGTATCCTCACCTCAACAACTGTGTGAGATTTCAGACACTACGATATAAAAACACAAACCTATTAGTTTCCAAAGGACGGCTATAAACATGTGAATAGTCTGGAGTGCAAGCTGTATAAGGAGGTGCTGAGCTGAGCTCTGGTTCAGCCCGGAGTGGAGGAGGCTGAGGGAAGACCTCATGGTGGCCTGCAGGTCCTCACAGGGAGAAGAGGGACAGCGCTGACCCAAGGGAACAGCATGGAACAGTGTCGGGGAGAGTCAAATAGGGTATTAGGAACAGGCTCTTCACCAGAGAGTGGTCAGGTACTGGCACAGGCTGCCCAGGGAAGTGGGTATGAACTGCACCTCAGAATCAGGTCAAAAATTGCTGGTTACAACAGGAAAGATTTAATTCCCAGGTTCAACTTCCATATTGCTACCCGCCACTCGGTTCCTCCTGCAATCCAGTGCACACCTGTGGGAGCAGGAACTTCTCCCTTCCCTTTTAGTTGCTTTATAACCAAACACACAACACAAGGCTGTATGATATCATTAATGTACTCTTCTTTGGTATGAGAGAAAACTAGAGCAGTGCTACGGAATAGGGCAATAACCTGAGTAGTCAGACTGATAGCTGAATTTCTTTGCTTTTATAAATAATGAAGCTTGGGTTATGGCTCACTTCTGTGCAGTGTCATGGATTACCAAAAGGTCAAACACTGACAGCTCAAACTCTGCACAGATTATTCAGTTAGCAATGCCTATACAGTTGAAATTTGCAAAACCAGTATATGAAAACAAACAAACAAAAAAAAGCACAGGAAATCACCGTTATGAATACAAGTTTTACTATTACTTAAATGGAGGAGCTGGTATGCTGGAATATAACAATGTCTTTTTGGACATTATCCCAAACATCAACCGGATCTCCAAATAAATTTATGAGAAGAAACATGCTCTGGTGGCAGATCTCTAATCCCACTGGAGAAAGCCCAGATCATCTCCATTTAAGGTCAAGCAAGCAACAGCTGCACATTTTTGTTCCTCAGAACAAAATAAAGCAGACCAAAACCTCCAACACAAATTCCTTTTTTAAAAGCTGTTCCCTTCTGGACTCCGTGGGTGCTCAGACTCAGGCTACCAAGGAAGAAACTGAAGAGCATGCAGACGCCCTCACACACGTGGTCCTTCTGCCTGGCCCCTGAGCAGCAAGCTGCTTCACACAGGTCCTCGCAAGCCTCACCAGTGTGTAACACCAAACCAATGGACAGGTTTCTGGAGAGATCGTATCCCAGCAAGCCTCTCACCAGAGAAGCACCAATACAAATCCAAAGCATTCACAAGATCTGCGCTGGGGAATTTTACTGTTATTTACCAAATGCATTTCCAATCTCATTTAAATGCAGCATTTCTTATCTAAGTTAAACATATCTAGAAGGCATGCATTACATTTCGGATGAGATATTACCATTTGCATTAATGCCCTATCTTTCACTTCTAAATACCATTCTTTAAAAAGAAGACTAAGCTATGATTGCATATCCTAACCTGTCAGTGGCTCAGTAACAAAAAAAGAGCATTCTTTAGGGGCATCTCACGTTAAAAAAAGCTCTAGAATGCTGATTACAAGCAATTCACCAACACAAAAAGGCAAAAATCAAGGGAAGAGTAAGTATTGCTATGATTTTAGGATGACTCAGTAAAAGGGAGAAATTGACATTAGTCACCGCAGTGCTGGGTGCAGGACTCTAATAACAAATGGAAGATGTGAATTTCAATAGTAACACTTGTACAAGTTTCATATTACATCTTGCAAAGACAGCAGTACTTTTGCTGGGTGATAGCAAGCGATAACATGAAACTCCCCTCACAAAAAGGTCAAATGCAGTTTGCCCGACAGTTATAGATTTACGTTAATAATGCCATTATAAGTAAGTTATGAAACACTCTGCACTGGTGAACAACTATCACTGTGGAGACACTCAATTAACTTTCAATTGAAACAAGTGACCCTGGATTTCCTGGATTTATTAAAGGATAACAGAAAGCAGTCGCATTTATAATACAAAAGCTCAGTTTCTAACTTTAATTGTAATATAGCCAAGAAAAGCATAAGAGAGCTAAACATCACCTTCAAAGTCTTCAAGCATTTTTTGCCTCTGGTTTGCAGCAGGCATCACAGCATGGCTTAGAGGGAATTAGAAAACAAATTAAACAATAAACCAAGCAAAAAAAGTCAGCCTATCACGTCTGGTTTCTTGTTCAAAGCCAGACATTAATCTATGCTAAGCAACAACTGCCAAAACTGGATCTAAATGTTTAGAGTTAGGCTGAGCTTCTGTATTTTTGCCTGCCATTTCCAAATGAGGATAACGCTCACACTGCCTGTAGCATCCACACATGAAGCCCAATGCTGGGCGCTTTCTCACAGAGCAGTTCAGTGCCTCAGCACCCAGGAAATCCTCCATTTCCTGGGTGCATGAATCCTTCTACTTAAATGCGGCCCATGCAACAGGCAGCACAAACCTCCTCACAAGTGCAGGATGCAGTGTGTGCTCTGTCCCCACTTGGCATTTCTCAGACAAAGGCAAGATGCAGAAGGTAACCTGCAGTGCTTTATCTAGCTGCACTTCTCCCCAGAAAACGGCACAAAATCATAGGCACAGTTTCCAGCCACTACATGGACTCTACGGTATTCCATAACAAAGGTAAAATACTTCAAATTATATAGGAATGATTAATTCAGAGGATTAATTCATACAAGACGGATTTTATTTGGAAAAAAACACCACCACATGCCATACCTTACAACCCACAAATTAACTCAAGAGGGTGGAAGAGGCATGAAAAAAAGAAAAAATTAAGTTCAAGCACGGTCAGAAGAAAGCTGATACTGCAGAACTGTATCACACTGTAAATCATATAGCAGCTGTACAACAACATTGCTGAATTATATATACACAAAGTGTACAGTTCAAGAAACCTGTGGTACAAAAGAACATCATTCTAGTTCCAAATCCTTTATAGGTTTTATTTTTAGGATTTTATTAACAAGAAACTGCACTGCTGCAGCTGAAGTAGCATAGCCTGAACAGCCCTCCAAACTAACTCCTATTTAAGTTCTCATGTAAGTAAACATAAAAAAGGCCACAGCAAACGGCTCACCCCCTCCCTCGCGCCCTGGCCGCAGTTCCCTGAGCCCCACATGGTCAGAGGAGCAGCCAGGACTGAGCACGTCCCGCTGCCAACAAGTGGAGATGAGAACTGCAGGCTTCAGAAGGCAGGGCTGAGGCCAATCACAACTTCTGCATCGCTGAATGACACCAGGAGTCCTGCCTCTGTAACTTTTGTTATTTTTCCCCTCAGCCTCCTTCAATTGCTCCCAGCACTTGGTCACGGACTCAGACAGGCTACCAGAGACCACAGGCAGCTGCCACCACACTCCAACAGCCTGCAGCAGAGGTAAGCACCCTCTATTTGATGCTTTTAACCCTCACAGCAAGGCACTGTAGCTGCAGTTTTATACATAAACTCCTCTATTCAAATTAACAGTCAGTTCTAAATGTTCACTAAAAGTAGGGAAAATTAGGCAAATCTGCTCTGAGTCACTTATACAGTGCTGTATTTTAAGGGACAGATGACGTTTTTCTACATGCTGGTGAGACACTAACTATCCCTGGGCACTGTCACAGCAGCAGTGAGAAACTTTCATCATCATCTTCCTTCAACTTTTATTCCTCCTCTTAATCTATTTGGTTTGGTTTGTTTCAAATATAAAATCTACATAGAGTAACTCAGTTTTGCAGGCATTGCCCAGCTGTGTGCCTCAGCCCCACAAAGGCAAAGCTCCTCCGTTACTGAGCTCACAGAGGAATGCTTTGCTGATGTGACACCGAGCAATAAAAACTTTGGCTGCTGTATGATAAAGTACCATCCTTCATTGCAAATGTGAACTGGTTTATAGCAGCTAGAACTGGAATTGTATCATATTATTTGACACTTAAACAAATGTATGCATACAACGTTACTGCTGCGAATTCCTTTGAAAGGTTTCTTTTTTCTTTCTGGTCACTGTAGCTGCCAAACTAGAATATTCTAGTAACAAATAAAAAAGTAACCAGGATTTGTAACATCGCAAAATTTATTTCTAATGCAGAAAGTAACCCGTTTAACCCTGAGGGAAGAGTGCATACACTACACAACAAAAATACAGCCTAAGCAAGCAACAAGGAGCACATCTCAAGGAGGGACACACCACAAAGGATATTTACATTAAAAACAACAACCACCAAACAAAAAACAAAAACAAGAACCCAACATATATGAATATTGCTAGGAGTAAGATTTATTCTCAACAAATTTCTCCTTAGAGCTACTGTTCTGCCCTCCATTGAAGCTCACTTTTCTACTTAGGTATTGTTCAAGTTTTGATTTAGGAAAGGGACAAAATGATGTTGTGAGGCACCTGGCTCCTTTTCCTTTTACTGGTAAGCACCAGGTAAGGACACCCAAGAGCAGCTGGCTTTGTGCTCAGCACCCTGTTCTGGTTCATGAAGGCTGGATGCTCTGTAGCTCTTCAGGGAGGCAGCTTGTTAGGAAGCTCTCTAGGAGCTGTTCCCAGCAGGTAGAAGCAGCATTCAAACTCATGCTGCCTTCAAAGTCAACACCTATGACAAGGAGGAATATTCTGAAAAACAATTTTTAGCACTGAGGTCACTTAAAATGTGTTTCCAAATGGGAAAAAAAAAAAAAAAAAAAAAAAGTTTGTATATTTCCTATCAAGCAGAGACAACTGAATTGGCATTTCCAGAGATTCTGATTTACATCTACTTAAAAAAAAAAATGGTATTAAATTTCTCATCCTTCAAGAAGGTTAAGGATGTAGCATCTTCATTGTGCAGCACAAAACTAACATTGATTCCTAATTAGACACCATAAAGGCTCATATCACCATAAAGGTGATTGAATTTTTCAGCAAACAAGAATGTCTGAGATACACCTACATGGGAAGACACATAATTTTTTACACACTGTAGCACTAACTTGAATTAGCAGTAGAAAAGCATCTCAACTGAGAAACCAAAACCCTGCAGGAAAGTAATGTCATGTTCCGTAGATTATGAGACAGATAGTTTAGAACTAGAAGATCGCTTTTGCTTTCCAGAGATCAATACATGGCTTATGAGGACTTTCCTGGTATCCAGTTACTTCTCAGGACCTTACTTATCTACTGCTGTTTTCCATCCATGCCACATCACTGCTGCTAAAAACGTAAAAATAAGAAATAACTTTCAGAATGCCCATCCACTTGCATGTTTTTTATACATGTTAGATGCAATTCAGTTCACATTCACTCACTTTGGTCCACACAGCACCTATGCTATTTATTAATAAGTAACATCAGAATCACCAGAACCTAAAACCTAACTTGAAACTACAAGGTGTTAAATCCTCAGGGCATACAGTAGAGAAAGGAGCCATCTCTCAGAAGGAGCTTTTCTATAAAAAAGTAAAAAATATAAACAGCTGGAAAAAAGTACATGGCATCATACATCCTATTTCAATGAAGTAACAGAGGAGTTTGCAGTGAGGTACCTGCTCAAGACCCCACAGTGTCGTTCTGCAGTACTTACAGGAAATCTAGCCTAGAGTTAAAATTGAGCCAAAGACAGCAGCTTTCAGGCTGCTTTAATAGACAGAAATAGAGACAGAAGTCAAAGTTAGCCACAAAGTACATAGATAACATCCAAAACAAACAAACGACAACAAAAAACAAACAAACAAACCAAACAAAAAAAAGCCAAGCTAGGCATGGTCAAGAATTTAATAGGTTTTTTTTTGTTTGTTTGTTTGTTTTAAATATATCCGTACCTTTATCTTTCTAATAGCCTTGAAATATAGCTAACGGCTCTTACTAACCAATAATCTCATTTCTAGAACATGGAGAACATCAAAACTACTCAAAATGAAAAATGTAAAACAGGAAAAACTGAATCTAAACTGTTACTTTTAAAGCGTGAGCCTTTTGCACTGACACTTCAGTACAATACAGACTTTAAATCAGAAAAAATAGTTTGCTCTCCTGTTGCTTCGCACATCCCAAAACCTGAGCTGAATTGTTATTTTTCCCCATCTCAAAAACAACGTTCTCTGCATGCAATTAAAAAAATAAAATAATAAAACCATATCCTACTAGTCAGTCCGTGGCTCCTTTCACTGACAATGAACCCCAGCTGCAATTTTCTGTTTCCCCTCATGCAATTTCTTGCTCTTTTTCCACACTCCCACACTCTTCTTTTGCTCATTTTTTTTTCCTACTTTCTCCCTCAGTTTGTCTTCACTTGCACCATTTTCTCATTCCTGCCTTCATCCACCCCAGTCTTTTTTGATTGCCAGCTCTCTTTCCCCTTATATTTTCTTCAATTTTTTTTTTTTTAATTAGCTTTTTTTTCCCCACAGCCAAGCTGTTGAGTTGGCTGACACAGTTTTTCACTGGTATAACTGCCTAGTGCAACTCCCAGCCTAGAAACAGAAAAGGAAACGGCATCCTGCACCCCTAGTGTGAGTAAACACACACCCAGCTAAAGGCATAAAACCCAGTAAGTTGCCTTCAGGCCATTTCATTCTTTTTACAAGAAAACAAATTGTAACATACCTCTACAGATCACTTCTGTGGTTGAAAACCTGTAAGCAGCTTCTGTTTTTATCAGTGGAAGCCTTTATTCGTTGAATTGAGAGCAGACACCTGCTAGAAGTCTCTCAAGCCAATTCAGACTGGTTCCTTATCAGCTCTCAACTTCCTCACTCAGAAGAGGAGAATTTTCAGACTTGGGAAGTTTCAAGTGAAATGGCTCCACACATCAGTGAGAAGGTGTTTTACAGCCAAGTTCAAAACAAAGCAATGCAACTGGGAATAATATCTATACATTAACACAGGAAGCCAGCAGAGATGACAAGCATGCCTACACATCAACTGCAGGTGCACTGTGCAGGCAGAGCTGTAACTCCCTGTAGCACTTCTTCTGCCGGGGTCCTTACAATCCATGGACAATCGGGACAAAAGACACCACAGTCAACAATTCACAGCTTTTCTTTTCCACTTTGGCACTGTACACACATCTTTAAATGCTTCTTCTCTGAGCGTGCAGAGAACGCACCCAGGAACACCACGCTGTTCACACAAATGTACAGAGGAATTTCTTACACTAGGTACAGTTTTAGAGTTCAGAACAGTTCTCAACATGTAGAGCAAGGACCACAGAATTTAAAGGTGTTTTTTTGCATTGCTATCCTGATGATTAGCAAGAAACTTAAGAAACCAGACCACTGTTGCTGGGTCGTTTTTGTTTTGTTTGTTTTGTTTTTGTTTGTTTTTTAAATCTAATTGGAAAAATCTATGTAATGAGCTACTGCACAATAGGAGTTGTTAACAATACCTTTTCAGGGCTCAGCTTGCTTGTACGGGGCAGTAACAAATCAAATATGTCAAACCCATTCCACTGATATCACCACTGCATTTAGTAAACATATGACAGGAAACAGGCTGTGTCTAAAATTGCTGTGGCATTTCCAAAGGAGCCAAATTTATCCTGTGTGACTTCAATGGAGTCAACACAGTTGTCAACCAGGAGTCAACCAGGAACGAGCGTGGCCACAGTTTTTACTTTGGTCACAGGTCTCCTCTCATGGTGAAGGACATCCAGAAACATAGACAAAAATAGCCTGACACAAATCAGGGGAACAGTCATATGTCAGTGAAGAGGGAGGCAGTGATTGTAACTGGTGACTCACCCTAGGGCCCCAAGTGCAGGGGATACCCCACACAGCAACATGGGGTTAACCATGTCATGTCTTCCTGCAGAGCTGCCCTGAGCACGAGACAGATCCGTTAAGAGCCCTGCATTAAACACAACTGTACACCAATGCAAACAACAGCTTCCCTTCTGGGCTTGTTGCACCCAAAGGCTATGCAGTTTGGCTTCAAAGCTGAATAAATCTCACTATTTGCTGCACCTTCAAGAGGTGTTTTTGTGCATGCGCAATACTTCATATTGACCTAAAGCAAGGACAGCAGGCAAACAACAGAGAAAACTATTATCTGTGCAGTGATTGCCTTTGTTTTAGTGCAATTGTCAGGCTGCCCTTTTTGACCTTGTTAGCTACCCAGCTGCAGCTGTATTACTGACTGTTTCTCTTTATGCACACTTCAGGTGGTGACAGCGTCATGGAAGATTAACAAGTAAGGTATGTGTTTACTGCTTGAAACTATGCGCTTGTAAAGAAAAACTTTGTTAAGCAGCATGTGTTCCCTTTGCTTACAAGAGAACTTCTCCCACAGGCAGGCTAAGTAGAGAAAGCAACATGCAGGTGTTTTAAAACTTTCCAAACCTACACAATCTGTTATTGTAATCTGACCTTTCTTCATCCCTTTTCTATGTATTTTTCTAGCAATAAGGGGTATATGCTCTAACATACTCTACTCCACTTTCATACTCTCCTCACATTTTTTTTTTTTTTTTTTTTTTTTTTTTTTTTAAATCCTTTTGTATCACTTGTCTGGTACTCTGACACAGTGACTGGCTGTGTACTGATGTTTTGTCCTCCCTGAGATTTCTCTGTTTCCCTGAACTGGTGATGGTTTCCCACCTGTGATGCCCAGCCCATACTTTAGAGCAGTACTTTACAGTCTTCAGTCACTGCTCCTGAAAACGAACTCAGCATCATAATGTACAGGCGTCTGCAAGTGAGCAGAACATCTAAGCCCACAGAAATGGGCTCATTGTGTACAGGGAATTACTGCCCTGGGAACAGGCAGAAGCCAGTGAAGAGCTCAGCGCACTATGCCTTTTGAGCACCTTCACTATTTAGATGGATGAGAACAGGTACAGCATTCAACAAAGTTGAAAAACAGTGCTAGGACCTAAGGTCCTGTGCACTTTGTTCACAGTGAAGTTAAGACCAACAGGAGCTTAAGTCACCGTAAAAAATCCAAAGTTCAGATTTTGGAGATACCATCACATGGAATCACCTAAAAGTATATTATAAAAATCCATGCATAATGTGCTTCCTTTCAGAAGCCTTTTTTTTTTTTAACATACCGGTGCTGCCATTGGTATTGAAAACACATGTATTCTGCTGATATAATGCCATCTAACTTTAGAGACCCACATGGAAAGTTTAAAAAGAGCCTGAAAAATGCTTTTGTTTCATTTTAAGGTTCTTTCATTTTAGACATACCGACATACCTGAAGACAAATTCATGGGTGACAAAACATCTCTGGGTCAGTCAAAACGTCCTATAATTCATGCGGCAGATACCTAAGCAAGTGTTTACCTTTACCTGACATGTATGAAAGAGAGGAAGGCAGGTACTGTATAATTAACTGGAGAGAAAAAAACAAACAAACAAAACAACACAAAAACACACCAAACAAGATAAGGAGAGGCCTTGTGTTAAAGATATTATGGCAATATATACTCATAAACCACCAGGGGGCAAGTTCAGCTTTCAGAACAACATTTGAGACATTTTAGCATCATCACGTTAAGAACTAATTTTTTGCATTGCTATAGCACCTACCCTTTGCCATGAGCTAAGCAAGCACACAGCCCATCAACACAGAAGATTCACACAGTAGGGCTTTTATAATCCACTGGGAGTTCTAAGAGAACCAACACCCTGTACTTCTATGTGCCATCAAAAGGGAGAAGATACAGGAGTGCATGTTTTATTTCAAGCAGGAGACAAAGTAATACACTTGCTTTATCTTGCTCCCACAGCAGCCTGTGTACCTAAATATTTTAGTCCTTATCCTATTCTGTGTAGTGAAAAATATAGTACTAAAATTCCTTGTATCAATGATGCATAGCTTTTAACTACACAACATAAAGTATTTTTTATTTGGAATGGCAATGAATAAAGATTCATTCTCCTCCCTTCCAAAACAAGGCTCTAGCAAGTCTGATGATCTATACAGATCATGAGCAACCACAGCCAGGCATCCTGGCCTTCAGCCCTAACACAAGTCTTCAGGTGTGCTTGAATTAGTAGTAATGGGGGAAGAAGGGCAGAAAAAAAAACTCAGTCTTTTCACAGACCACAAAGGATGGAAAGATAAGGATCTAAAAAGGCAGGACCTGGTAAGTCCCACATTTCCACAATTTCTATTTTACAGTCTTCAACCCCTGCCAAGAAGCAGGTGCTCAGTAGCCCCTGGGAGGAGAAATGTAATGCAGCACAAACATGAACTTGGAAAACAACATTTCAAAAACATCATTTTAAACTAAAGCCCTCATGAAAACAACTTACTTACTTCAAGCTTCTCAGAACCTTAAAACAATCTCCATCTGCACTTATCAAAGCACTTTACTTCTGCATTTCTAACTCTTCACTTTCCTGCTTTCCCAGCTCCACAAAGGCTGTCTAAACAAAAAGAGAAGATAACAGGCACTTTTCACTGTTCCTGAAAACTCCACTCCTATCCTGCACTTCTAAAACCTCTGATTTGTGCCCTCTGCTTTCTTGCTGCCATGGAGAAGGTCCAATACATAACCCGCTCTGCTCTGAGGAGAGCCTCAACTATTGAGGTGAACCCACAAGCACGCCAAAGGCTCCAGGAGCTCTTTGTGAATTTCTGCCTGATCTTAATTTGCCTCTTGCTGATCTGTATCATTGTGATGCTCATCTGAAGTTCCAGCACTTCTCTGCACTGTTCTCTAGGAAAGCCGCCCAAAGGGAAGAGCGACCTCCACTTCCAACCCCAATGCAAGGATCCCCTTGGGAGAGGGGCTAGCACTTGGACTAAGGCTGTGCTGTGTGCCAGCCGTCGCGCTGCTCTTACTGCCTGCCACATGTATTAAAAACACACTTCTGTGCTGAACAGTGTCTAGAGCTTGTTGTTACACAGCTGTGCATGACCTATTTTATCTGTTCAGTCAAGAGATGTCTGTTCTGGTGCAGGGAACTGCCTCTCCAGAGGGCTGGTAAGTCTCCCCATGTTTTAGCCAGTTTTCCATGGGTTAGCCACTACTGACAAGCAAGAAGTGTACTTTTTCAGGATCTCTGGAAGTCCATAAACCATTGGGCACGTTCCAAATTCAGCTGAAAGAACAGCACACATACCACATACTGCAGAGTAGGAGGACATCTGCTCCGAGTCCTAAAACATGCTGTATCTTTGTGCTATCAACTGAAGGCATTCACCTTGTTCTAGCATTTTTATAAGAATGAAAGTAAAACAAAAAAATATCTTCTGAACAGATTTTTTTTTTTAAATTTCAAATGCTCTTCTTCAAATTTAAAGGATCCTTTATATATATATATATATACATATATAATGTATTTGCATATTTCTATACACTCACACCTTGGATCTGAAAACAAAAAGGCAATTTTTTTCGCTGGAATTTGTCGCTGTTCCATTTTCACATGATATAATCTTACAGATTTAAATGACAACCAAAAAGATTTTTCAGTATGTTTTTGCAGACAAATGCATGCTACCACACTGGCAAAGATTTCATTTTCTGTAAGTAGCATAAACGATCGGCACAAGTAAAAAATTACAAATAGCTCCAAGTTCTTAATGTTTGGTTGCAGACAACTTGATTACAGCCTGCTATAATTCACACAATAATTGCCCGAGTTTAAAACTACAGATAGTTTGGCATTTGCCACTGCCATTCTATGTGACTTACATTTGATGTGGTAAAGAAAAAGGTTTAGGTCGTGTTTACTACTGCAAATGGGGCATACTGCAGAAATACAAGCAACACCACCATCTTCAACTGCAAATGACTGTTAGAGAACAAGCAAGTATTTTCCTAAGATAAATGTTATGTATCATTATGTATAGGAGGAAGAACATTGCAGAAAAATGTGTTTAGTACGTAAAACACAGTCTATACAAATACAAGGTGAAGCTTCTGCTCCAGCAGATATCAGTAATAGGCCTGAGCAGACTTCCAGCCCTCTCACATGTTGGTGTTAGGCTAAATTCCTAGAAACATTACAGTTTTCAAACAAAGAAAGCTCAACAATCAACAGACAGAGATCAGACATTATTTTGAACAGGCATCTTTCTTGGGCAAATAATCCTACTGATGAAAGCAGGAAATCAAATGAAGTTTATCTTAATCTTGTACTCTGTCTTTAAGACTTAACATTATATAAATACGGGTTAACAATGAACAACTAAGCAGAAAGGGAAGAAATCTCTGAGGAAAAAAAAAAACAAACCTTCTTGTATTGAATGTAATGCAAGCTCAGTGGTGATGAACTAGCAAATAGGTACACTAAGAGCAGATCTCTGAAGTAAGGTTAGTCACTAGATGTAGTTAGTTACTGTATGAGGATTAAGGCAAATACTGATGTAACTGGCAACACACGCATCCCATTTCAAATCATAGTGACTAAAATTGTCAACATAAACCTCAATTCCTGTTTCATGCATTCTGATCATCTTCACAAATCATGATTTTCCATACATGCACTTTTCCTATCACTACTACCACACAGAAGAAGGAAAAGAAAAGCCACAGTGTACTACTGTGGGGAGAATATAAATAATAGAAAATAATAAAAAAGAAATAATTGAAAAGTTACTTTCTTCTATTTTTAAATCCATATTATGTGATGGGAAGGTTTCCATCTTGCTTTTCTCATACAGGCATTTTAGATTAATTTCGACTTATTTTAATAAATTTCTACTGGAAATAACTGATTGTTTTGTAGTACTGAAAAACTTTCTGAAGAGAAAAGGTGATAAGAGTAAATTATCAGCACACATTCTGAGATATTTTGAAGTTATAGGATCTACAAGCCTGTAATCAAAGCAGAGCACTGCTAAATAAAGAAAAACAGCTTCCCTATAAAAATTAAAATACCTGCTTTTTTCTTATGTACCTCAAAAGCCATTAATCATTTAAAGATAATAAGCAAACAAGAATCAACCATGGTATAAATAAGCTGGAAGCTCTACTGTTATTTTACATTAACACAGATAAATTGCAAGTACTGTGAGGTTCATTTGCACCTCTGTGTTCCGTTGATATGAAAAACTGCTCCCATGCTCCACATCAGAAAATGTCAACTGAACCCAGAGATAAAGGCTCTTCTACATAGTATTTTCCTTGGTATACTTGTAAGAGCTTCCAAACTGGCATCAGCTGTATTTTTATTAAAATGACTGTGTGAAAACATATTACTGAATAAAAGAAGAAATTCAAACAATTGTTTATAAAGAAGCATCCATCCCATTATTTGCTTAAAAATCAAAGTTACGTGAATGAGAGGTAGCCATTGCCAAGTGTGGCACTCAGTCCAACACCAATGTCAGGCAGCCTTTAAAGGTAGAGAAGCCTTTAACAAAGCTTCTCACAAAATTCAAAGTGTTTGGCTTCCGAGCACAAAGAACTTCCACAGAAACTTTTTAAGAATACCCGGAAAACAATAATCATATTACACATTCACTCATGTCTTGTACTTTAAGCCCACTGTACCAAAATTTGAGCACAGTGCAATGAACACATTCATTCTGAGAGTACCCCTGTTCCTAACTGGAAGCAAACTGATGCATGATAGATTATGGCCAGATACCAACTTTATATGGCTATTAACTGTCATAAAAATATTTGCGATGTTCTACAGGATCCAGGGATATCATATTTATCATATTTAACATTGAACTTCTTTGACTAGATGTTAAAAACTGAAGGAGGTCTGAGTTTTGCTCGTGGAAAGAGATGATAGAATACCTCTTGCACACTGCAAGGCTTAAAGCCAGAACACATTTCCAAGAATTCCTTTAAAAACTGGTGGTTATCTTCACAAGAACACAGACAATTGAAGTCATTTTTAAATGGGCTCTGTATTCATGGTAGTATCTGACAGTTCAGTCAAGCTGACCACTTTCTAAGATTCTTTTTTGTTGCTCTTTTTGTTTGTTCGCTCTTAAAGATAAAATCACAGAAACACCATCTCGTATAGCATACAGAACTATAGAACAGTGAACAGTGCCCTCTTGTGATCTTTTCTAAGAACTTAGATCATTAAAAAGGTCTGGCAACATTTCAGTGTAAGAGAGAACTGGTCATACTTGTTTCTTTTCTATGTATACATTTTTGCATAAAAACAATAAGATATTATCTTACAAAAGGCTATGGCATATGTGCTATTAGTAGCACTATGGATACCTATTCTGCCAGCTCAATCTAGACTTCTCAGGTGGAATTCATGTTGTGAAGATGCAATGAGTCCTACGCAGCATACTGTTGGCAAAACACTACCTACACCACGGTGCACAATGCCAGAACGTAGAAAGGTAGGAAATACTCCAATTAAAAGAGGTGCATTTTGCCCAGAAAATGTTGTGGTTTTCATCTACAGAGATCTTTTAGAAAAATGATTTTTCCAACAATCTACGACTGGAAGCCTGAGTAAACACTGAGAATAGAGTTCTGTTAGAAATCATAGGGTCCTGCAGAGTGCTGTGCTCATAGAAGAAGTATATAAATAAAGAGCCAATCTGTACAAAATTCAAGTCTTTCATTAATTTTTTTTTTCTTTTTAAAAGGCATTTGGAGAAACAAGAAAGCTTGTAGGAACATTCAGTTTTGGGTTTCTTTTTTGTTTGTTTTTGGTTTTTTTTGTTTTTTTTAGAAAGGAAAAAAAAAATACCTTCTATTAATTATTTTTTTCATAATTGGCAGAAACTAAGAACAGGTTAACAGCTGAAGACAATGAAATTTGTGTGACTCTGCACTGCTTACCACTGAGCAAACAACCCAGAGGGCTGCTGCTAGCACAAGAGGGCAGACCAGCGCACGTTATGGATCTTGCTACCAACAGAGGTCTCAACCTGCTGCTCAATTTCCTGCTCATAGTCTTGGTTTTAGTACTCGCATTCATCCTTGTGAAGCTGATGTGAATAATCCCTGGGAGGTTTCTTTTCAAATCTTGTTCTGAGGGCTTGGGGTTCTTTTGCAATGATAACGTAAGGAGGTCAATCTATCTAACCAGAAATACGACAAGACTGCATAGATTGAAGTATCTGACAGAAAAAGTGTTCAGAGGGTTTTATCAGAAGTGAACCTTAAATCTACACACAATTATGTCATGCCATTGAGTAAGGAAAGCGCTGAGAGCCTTGTTGAGTACAGAAAGAAATCCAATTACGCATAAAGAGTTACTTTAGTTTTATAAATGCTGCAGTCAACTTTCATTTTAAGGACCAGCAAAAGATCAGCATCCTTCAAAAAACAATTTCAGATCTCCCGTGGAGTGCAAAAGTACAGATGCTGGGGATGGAAGAGGTTGCTGTGGTTTACAGCAACTGAGATGTGGACAAGTTAAGTTTAAATCTGAAAATGTAATTTTTAGGGACACTTTTTGACACCTGTGATTCACAGCAACATCTTAAAAGCCAGAAAGCATTCATGTTACACATCAGTAACAGAAGCAGCAGCTGTTAGATCTATAACAAACAAAACAGAAATCAAACCCAAACAAGGGCCACTAGCAAGCAAGGGTTATCATATCCACGAATCCCTTAGCACTGCTGCATATGTGAGCTGTCAGAGCCTCTGCATAACAGCAAGAAGAGTGCTGCATCCTCAACAAGTTCACCACTTATGCACAGGTCAAGAGCGCTGCCTGGAGCCCTCAAGCTGTTTGACACTCCATTTGTTGTATGCGTACCACAGCAGCATAGTTAGCCACCTATAGCTCATCCTCACATCAAGTCTGCAATGAAAGCTTCCCGTGGGACCTCCCTCTACAGCCCTTCACAGGATGATCTGCTTTCTCCATGCTTGCTGGGAAAGGCAGTGACCAAGGAGAGCTCCTTTCTACTAGAATAATTTGCCTACCAGGCAACCCTAAGATACACAGGGAGAGAAGGAAGCCACAAGCAGACTACAAACACCACACTGAGGCCAAGAAGTCTGCTCTTCAGCATCTCTCTCTTCCCCCAACAAGTTGGGAACCAAACGTAACAACATACCAGTATCATATTGTAAATTTAATGCCACACACATGCAAAATGCTGGTGGTGCCCAGAGGTGAGGAAAACCCAATTTCCAGCTCCTTTATGACAGAAGAGTTCCCTGGACCAGCAGGTACGCTGTTGATACCACAGGTGCCCCCAACATTACAGAGCTGATTCTACTCCAGCTCCACATAGGATTGCCACACTATTACTGCTGTTGTGGCTGGTTCAGTCATTTCAGTCATTCAGTACAGAAGAGACTGTACTACAAAAAGATCTACAAAAAGACTTAGCACAAAAGGAAGACAATATGCCAATAGAAACATGGTGTGCAGGCCCACCATGACCAGGCTCCCATGTTTCACACCACATTATCTCCTTCAGCATCGAGACACCATTATGTGGGACAGCACTGACAGAGAAGTCAAATAAAAGATTTCTCTTGTGCTTTGAAATGCAATAAAAACTTAAAAAGAGCTTCTGCTTTTTTTTTTTTTTTTTTTTTTATGTGAATACATAATATTTGTATTCAAAGCAGGAAATTTCACGCTGTAACCACTTTTTCACTTATTTTGATTATCTTGAAACGTTCTGCTTTAAAATCCGTAGATTTATGTACGTGGGATTGACGTTGTAACAGTAATACAGTTCCATATTATTTAGAAGGATTTCTGACAGTACATGTAATAGACAAGATGAAAAAAAAAAAAAAATCATGAAATTAAGAAACTGATATGAAGGCCACTCTAGTCTGATGAAGAGTAAAAACTAGTTCTCAAGCAAAATGGCCACCCTGAGTATTTTATGCCTATTCTTCTGCAAAAACAAGAGCTCCCTTACCCTATGGAAGTCACTGCGACAGCTGAACAGCTAAAAAGAGCTAAATGAACTAGCATTAAAAAAAAATTAAAAATCAATTCCTTTCATTCAAAAGGACAAAGTTGAGTGTAGTAACTTGACCTATCACTTATCTCCAGTTCTAAAGCTATGCACAAATTGCCATTAGGATGTAGCTACCCCATGAAACAACACCAAACCTCCCAGACCGCAACGAAAATCACAGAACCTTAAATAAATGTTGAAACACGCTGCTGAAACTGAACATGCATTCTCCTGGGATGACGTACAAAATTGGAAAAGCTATCAGTCATCCATTGCCAAGCCTTTTTCTGTAATCAGGCATGGTCCAAGCTTGGTTTGCCACCATCTGCTAGCACTTAGACTGAGCGCACGTATTCACTGTGGGTTGAATCCATTTGTCAGCCTGCAACCAACTTCACAGCGAAAGAAACAGAGCATAAAAGCTCACAGCAGTGAACTAATTCTGTTAACTATAAGTGATGTTTGAAATTTTTATCCTGCTGGAAAGTATGTTTTTCTCAAGTCAGATTTTGAAAGCATTTATAATGACTTCTTTCCTTCACTTTTCTGACCTGTCAGAATCATAAGGAAAAATACTTTCGAGTTCACATTTCAGAATAAAATTCAATGACAACAATATGATGTGAAGCACATTCTTTCAATTAAACTTTTATATGTTTGGTGATGTTCAGATAAGCAAGCACTGTTTTGAAATGATGACTGTTGTAGCATTTCTAGTTTCTCACTGCATTAAAATTTGATTTGTAGTAACATACATACGGTATGAACTTGACAGTATTTTCCTCATTTAAAAAAAAACAATAGTAAATGAGATACATAAATGGAAGAAGATGCACTTAAGCAACTTCCATCTATCATCTCTGCAATATTCTGTTCAAAGCTAGCACACCATGAAAAAAATAATCCCAAGGATGCCACATGAACTGGAAAAAAAAACAAACCAACACATTAGTTGTACTGTGCTGCACGAAGCCTTCTGAAACTTCTTTCCTCCTGTATTATCTCCTACAGTTTTGAAGGCATATCTTTTATTCTGGGCTAACATACAGTATCTATTAATTGCAGTCAGATGATAGGATCAGGCTTTAAGAAATGCATTTACATGGAAACATGGAGCTTTTGTATTCAGATTTATATGTCCTGTAAGTTCAGTAGATGGGATGTGTACTACAAGCATTTTTTCTTCTTAAAGGTTTAATTAGCCATTCACTAACTTTGAGAGTTTAAAATTAAAATGTATTAGAACAGTCACCTCTGCTGAAATACTGAAAGATCAGCTGAGCACTGAAAAAATAATTGTGCGATGAAATATAAATTCTGCAGGAAAGTTATTTTTGTTCTAGTATCATTAAAATCTGTTCTTTGGAAGTCTAGAAGAATGTTCACCTTCAAAAAGCTTACACTGAATACAAATTTGCTACAAAAAGCATTTCCATACTCAATTCCATGTTATACAACAAACAAAGCCTAGATCCTCCTTGGAGATTCAGTTCAGAAACCTACACACACCACACCACAGACAAACATTGTGCCTTCTCTGAGGAGAGCTTTTGTTGATGTACAGTATCTTTCCTACTGGTATAAATCACAGCTGTTCTGAGAGTCTCTTTCAGGACAGGTTGCAAGTCTGCTTCCCAACGCTCTGAACTTTCCTTATGATTCTCACATCTTCAGGGCCCATTATTCTCCATTTGCCACCAGCACACCTTAAAGTTACACAGAACTGCCTGATATTCTCTGTTTAAAGTAAAGTTCAGTTTGTTTTCTGTTCAGGGCAATGTTTTAAAGCAGAATTACGATAAATAGCAATTATTTCAGTCCTGTAAAAGCACTGCACTTCTATCAGCACACGATAGAAAGCAAAATACCTGAAATAATAATCACTAAAAGGGGAAGGGGAAAGGAACAGAAAAAGGAGAAAGATTTCTATGTCATGGTTTAACCCAGCAGGTGGCTCAGCACCACACAGTCATCTGCTCACTGCCCCCCTTCCCACTGGGATGGAGGAGAGACTTTCATGGCTTGAGACAAAACTTTTTACTTAGATAGCAAAAAGAAAAATCATTATGACTTTATATATGTATTCAACAAGCTCCGCACAAGCAGTTTACTCACCACCCACTGACCAATGCCCATGTAGTCCCCCCCCAAGTAGTAGAAGAGAGGGAGATGGACTCCCATCCCCTTCAAAGCTCCTTCAGTTTGATGCTACATGGTATGCAATATCCCCAAGGCCAGTTTAAGTCAGCTGTCCTAATTCTCTTCCTTCCCAGCTCCAGGGGCCCTTCACAGAGAATGGCCTTGGCTCTGTACAACCCTGCTTAGCAGCAACTGTAAACACTGGTACATTATCATCAGTGGTTTTGATTTTGTCCTAGAACCAAAACATATAATAACAGGCCCAGCTGAATTAAGATATCCCAGCTGAAGCTAAGATACGATAGAGGGTTGTCTGTGTGTTTTCATTCATAGCTTCTCCATTAAAAAAAAAAAAAAATTCCCTCCTTGTTAGTTACCACACCTAGAGGCAGCAGAGAACACCCTGAAGAGCTCAGCTCATGGCCATGCTTTACTTTTCTGCTTTATGGAATCTTATTTGACAAGTCCATCCTCTCAACTAAGGAAATCTAACAGACCTATTTCAAGACCCAGCAATGCAACCCTAAACCATATCAATGAAAGCACTTGTTAGAGCCAGCAGGAACTCCTTTTAATTACTGCCAGACTCCCTGTGGTCTCCCGTTGCAACTGAGTAAGGGGGAAAGCAGAGAATCATAGAATGGCCTGTGTTGAAAAGGACTTCAAAGATCAACTAGTTTCAGTACTACCACCAGACCAGGCTGCCCAGAGCCACATCCAGCCTGGCCTTGAATCCCTCCAGGGATTGGGCATCCACAACCTCTCTGAACAACGAGAGAAACCCTATCATTAAGGGTTGACACAGCTTAACGGTCTGCCTGAGGAAGCAAGGATCCTATCTATATTCCATAACAAACACTGATCCAGCTATAAATTACCAATCTAGATATAAAAGTAACAGAAGCAAGACAAAGTAGCTTTAGGAAAAACTTTAACCTGTAATCTTACAAGCAGAAAAGCTGCTGTACCATCTTATAAATGAAGCCAAAAAGGTAACTAATGTTTGTGCTCCCCCTATGAGCTCTGTCCTCAAAATACAGCTGGGAATCTATGCCTGCCTACCTGCCCTTAACCACAACAAGAGGTTGGCCTTCATCTGTTAAAAAAAAAAAACTGCATTTCATCACAACCAGACTGAGGATACACTTGTGAGAAGCGAAGAACCTAGAAAAATGTCATAATAATAATAATTTGGTAATATGAATCAGCCTCAACTTTCTATGTTAATAAATAATAATAAAAACACAGATCCCTTTAAGAGCATTGTGGGATCCCGAGAACTTCTAAATTTCTCAGTCTTTCCCACAGTGCACAATGGAACAAACAACAAAATTTGAGCACAACTGTTTGTTATTGTCAGGCCGGAAGAAATGGTTATTTTCACATACAGCTAGATTATCTTTTTTGGGACAGTATCCTAGACTAACTTCACACTGCCTGTTGCAGAAGTTTACATAATGTAATCTCCTTGCAACTTTCAGACAACTCTATCTACATACTTAAGTATTAATATTTCCAATTCATGCCCTCCCTTACAAACTATCTTTTCCCATTAGGGAGGAGGTGGATGCAAAGACTGGGAATTGTCATATCAGAAAGGCTTAAAAATACCATCTTAAAAAAAAAACAAAAAAAAACAACAACAACAAAAAAAACCATATGATGTTTACTGTGTGAAAAAGCTTCAAATAAGACAAATACATTTCATTTAAATAAATGTGATTAGATTCAACTAACCGTAGTCAGTTAATTTACTAAAAAAAATAAGCAGTAACAACAAACTGAACTAAGCTTTTAAGTCCTGGCCATAGCGATATTGTTGCATGCAGGTATCAGTCCTTCTGATTGCGTAAATTAAATCTCTCAGTTCAGATGAAAATAGACATTCACATTTCCTCCACTACACTATGACAAAAAATGCTCTTAAGAACTGTTAAAAATTTTAAAAATTGTTTTCTGATTAATCTCTTACTGTACCCAGCTTCAACAAGAGATGCTGGTCTCATGTGAACCAACAGATTGAATCTAAGCAAACAGATGTCAGAAGAAAATTGCTGGCAGTCACATGATACTAAGACACAAGCAGCAGCAACCCCAATATACATTTAAAACCACCACCACCTGGTTGAGAGGACTTGAGTTTCCTGTTGTGTTTTACTAAAAACTCTATGAAAGGCATTATTCTTCACATATAACACGAGATGCCACACGATGGCAGCAAACACCAAGCTGTAGCCTTACCTGCACAGGGTCTTCACTTCCCGGCCTGAAGTCTTCAAGCTGCTGTAGGTGCCATGCAGCTACACCATAGGGCTCTTCTGCAGTCCTGCAGTCCAGGGGATTTGCCCGTAACTGTTCTTTAAGCCACATTTGAGTCCTCACTGCTGGCTGTATGGGAGCTCCACTCACAGCCTGTTGTCCCAAGGTTGCATATCTCTGTCCAAAAGCTTCACAACTGGCTGCCACAGGTTTGCTTTCGGGTAAGGCACTGTAGTTCAAGTCTAAGGCATGTCTCCTACTCGAGGAATCTGAAACAAAATCATCTTTGTTGCACGTTTCAAATTTGTACTTGCAGTCCAGTAGAGAAGACCGTTTTTTCCCTATTTCCTTGTCCTCAATTTTTAGCAACTCCATGCTGTCATGCAAACAGTTTGGCCCATTTGTCCTTAATGGTGGTGACACAGCTTTGTCTGTACCAGCTCTGGAGTCCACGGAATGACTACTGCCATCCTGGCTGAAGGTGTTTGGTGAGCTGAGCTTAGACAAGGAGGACCATTTTCTTACAGGTCTTGCGGTTTTCATGTCAAGAGAATTGTCTAGGGCATCTGGATTTCTGCCTCCTCCTGACCGTACAAAGCTTGTACTCCATTTAGAGCCATCAGACTTGAAAGCTTCCCTGTGTTTGGAAAGTGAAGAGCTGGCATTAGACGGCATCACATGGGCAGTGGGAATAGAAACCAGTGATCGGCTGGGCTTAAACGAGGAGGTACCACTTGAAGTTGAATGATCTGGGAAGAAAAATTTATTACGTAAGTACAATACAAAATGAATACTAACACAGTGCACAGAGGGCAAAACATCAACCTCAAGGCGAAATGCAAAAATGGAAGGAAATGGGTATCTTGACAAAACAAGGTCTTCTGAACCATTCAAGATTTCAATATGCTTTCATTCGCAGAATGAGATCTTTTCAAATTTACTTTGCTGGGTACTGCACTAAGAAGGCGATAAGAGAAGCTCCAGACACACTTAAGACTGTGGGCAGAGTGCAGTGTTTATTTCCCAACTTCAACACACAAGGCAAGGCTTTTTTCCTCTGCCCCTACAACTCAAAATGGTTTTAATGACACAAATGATAGAGGCAACCCAATCTAGGATCTCCCTGATTTGTTGTTCCTCCAACACCCCTCCTCTCCTTCTTTGAGGGAACACAATTCACTGAATGCACTTTGTAAAACAAAAGTGTTGAGACAAGGCAGATGAATAACAACTTCTGGTCAGTACTATGCATCTTTTCAGATTTCACTATTTTCAACCTACATTTCTATCAGGTGATTTGATTTAATTAAAAAAAAAAATACTATGTTCCTTTTAGGTTTTGTATTTTCCACAAATCCAAACAGGACACAGCGTAGGAACTGTTTAGCATAGTTCATTAAATGTATCCCAAACTGAAATACCAAGAACAGAAAAATCAGAAAGATGATGCTCAGAAAGCAACAGAAGGGCAAAGATGATCAAGGTAAACGAGAGGTGACTGAGGACAGCCTGAGACCTCTCACATCCCCAGCAGCAGGTGCTTCACATCACAGAACGTGGACAACCAGAAATAAGCTCCTAATCCTCTCATTAGAGGATCAGCTCCTACCACGTCACATGGCTCCACCTTACCCAAGCTTAACAGGTCCAAAGTAGATAAGAGAATGAAAGAGCTAATTTATTTATTCATTCAAGATCCTTTTTGCTCAGAGCAAGGCAGATACAATCCTAATACTTCTCTTGAACTACACACATACTTTATATAAATCAACCAAGCACTCTGAAATTACAGCTAGGATACCCAGCTTGATGGCTGCAGTAGGTTAGTATGAAAAGCCAGAACATGCTACTAATTGTGTATGCTTTCCAATACACCATGCCACAGACAGGAAGACCAGCACTTACATGTATCAAAATCCCTTATCCCCAGCTTGGATTCTCCTCCCTCTTTGGGACAAGACTTTTGACTCAGTGCACTTGCATCACAACACAAAATATTGAAGGAATAAAGGCACACTCCTCGTCTCAGAGAAAAATGCTTTATACTCCACAAAATAATAAACAGTTCCTTAACTGATACTGGGTTCTTACATACACATCTGACTCCTAAAGCAGCCAAGGCCACTAAGGAGGTGAAAATATTTGCTGAAGCCTTCAATAACAGCCCCACCATCAATTCTCTCATTTTAAAGAGAAAGCTTATACCACATTGTCTCTCACCTCTACCCAGCTGCCTGTTTCCGCAGCAGTTACAGAATGTGGCCACCTTTAAGACTTCCACAGAATTGTCAGATTTGGTTGAAACAGACCAACAGCTTGAGAGCTACCTGTAGGGCACTGAACGCCAAAAAGAATACACACAGCTTGATCATATTAGAAAGAACAAGACGAGTAACACTACCGGCTTTGCTAGTTGATGCACAATGTTGCTAAAAACGTGAGACACCTCTACAAGCAAGACCAAACCCCTTTTCCTCCCTGCACTTCATCTTTAAAATTCTGCATTCCAGAGAAACATAGCTGTCCTCTGCCTTGACACTGCTCAAGAAGTGGGGCACAGCAAAAAAGACTGAATGACTGAATACTATGCAATCCATTTAAAATTGAAGGAATCGTGGTTCTCTAGCCAAACAGCTGTCACAGCAGTGGAGACAGTGATACGCAACACCAAGTTCCTAAAACTGCCGTGTGCCCACATGCAGCCAATCTGCCTGCATCAGGCACAGAGCACATTACGATACAGAACAACCTCTTTGACAGTGGAGATCTATGCTTTCTATGCTTTAGGATGTGTTGATTTCTATGAGTAGGAATGTCACATCTGCAAGAGAATGGCAAGAGCTGAAACCCAACCTGTATGCTTACTCAAATACATTCTGTAACAAGATTACAGTAGTATTCAATATAGAGTTTTTGGTCTAAAATATAGATAATGCAATCTAGATACCAGCTTCAAACTAGAATTAAGGCCAATAATAATTAGAAGTATATGCCTTCCTTTTCCTATTTTTACTGGTGTAATGAGTTACTCATACATAGAAAAAACTTGTTTTGCTTTCTTCTACTCTAAATTTAAACTCCCAAATTAGATCTAAATTTGTCATCCGCAATTCTGATTCTTAACTCTACAAGCAGCCTCAGTCTTGAAATATAACACATACATCCATCAATAGCAGTTGGATGTATCTGACAATTTGTTTTGAAGTGAAACCTAGCAATTTTGCTTTCAAGTTGCCCTAATCGGTCTTCCCATTAACTCTCACTGAAACATATGAGAAAATTCACACATTTTCTTAGAGCATATTGCTTCAGTCTGCCTTGACTGCAGGCTCAGCTGGAAAGAACTGGTCTGCATTCTAAAACATCTCCTCATAGTACAAAAAACACAAAATTCAGAAATGCCATCAAAACGAAAGATAATTCAAAAGCACAGAAAAGCTTAGAAGATGCAATTACTCCTGCAGACATAGCAGTAAGTTTACAGAGTCACTGAATGGCTAAGATAGGAAGTGACATCTGGATGCCATCTGTTGTAATGCTTGCTCAAGCAGGACACCTAGACGGGGTGCACAAGAGGCTGTCCAGACAAGTTCTGAAGATGTCCAAGAAGGAGACTCCACAGCCTCTCTGGGCAACTTGTGCCAGTGTTGGATAACTCATGTAGTAAGAAAAGTTTATTAAAAAAAAAAAAAAGAAAAAAAAAAGTTCCTTCTCACCAAATCCTGCCAAAGACAACTTCAAGCAAAAAGATTTTTCCCTCTCATGTGATAGAGCTGTAGAATATCCTGACCTGCAAGGATCATCATTTCAAACTCTTGGCTCCACACATGATGATCCAAAATTCAAACCACATTTTGGAAAGTGTTGTCCAAGAATAAGCAAAAGGAGTTATGAATGAACTACTGCTCTCTTCTCAACATGGTTCAGCTTTCGCTGCATCAAGCCAGTCTTTATTTGAAGACTGTAAATGCATTCAAACACAGTTTGTATACATCAAGAATCAGCTTTTCAATGCTTAAGATTGTTCTCATCAAGGAAAACTTGAAGAGATGGGAGAAAAAAATAAAGCAAGTTGCTACTGGTTTTCCTCTGAACATCAAGATTAAAAATCAAAACTTGCTTCTCAATCATATCAATACCTTTTTGCGCCTACCACAAAACATCCAAGGCCACCCATCCAATTGGCACTGCATTTTAACCTTTGATACAATAGATCCTAAATCACAGTAATAAGAGTATTTTAGAAATTTGTTCTACGAGATTTCTACCACACAGTAGCAGAAGATGGAATCAAAAGTAAATAACATTTCCATATGGCTTTCCTACTATCCTCTGTTATACCTCTCAGTTATCTTATTTCTGTATCTAGCATTGAAAAATAATGCAAGAGAATCAATTCTGGTTTTCCAAAATACCTAAATCACAGAAATTTCACTTATTTGGGAACAAGTATGGCAGAGACTTTCTTCTAGAAAAATAGAAAGAAAAAAAAAAACAAACAACAACATCCCAACTTAATGGACTCCTCCTCTTTATTTTCCTATACTTTTTTTTGCTTTACAACATCACTAGCTCCATCTACATTTACCAGACTTAGAAGACAATCTCTGAAGCCACTTCTCAGGTCAGATTCATAACACAATCAGTCAGCTGCTTCAAATCCTAATCAGTTGCCCCAGTGGTCAGTCATAAAGCAAGAGATGCAGAAAAGGTTTACTGAAAACTTTCCCTGCTGCAAAATGAAATTGACACTTCATGAGTACCCATCTGTAAGATATACTTCTATATCTAACTAAACTGTTAGATATAGAAGTATATCTTATTTCTCCCAACATATCACCAAACAATCAGCTAGTAATCAAAACCCAAAATGCTTATTATGTATACGTTGGTGGGATGCACGTGTATCTAATATCACTGGAAACAGAGACTTTCCTTGTGTGAAAGAGTTTGAAATTTGATATTTTATACAGGCTATAATTAGAAAACCCTGACCATGGAGAATAATGCCACTATTAGAAACAGATGACGTTCTCTTCCTTTTTGCTCCACTCCCTACCCCCTACACACTGACATAAACTGCTCCAATCCAGGAAAATAAACTAAAATATTATCATTAATTGAGAGGAAGGCAGATGGGGGAAGCCAAACCACTATTGTACATATTTACTTGCATCTGACTGAGCTTCAGCGTAAAAAAGTTCTTAAGTTCGTTACAGGACGTTTGCCAAATTATTCCCTGTGGTGTAACCTAACTGCACGTACTCCAGCAGCAAGCCAGAACAATTCCAGGGTCCAGCATACAACACTGATGTATCCACAAATTTTCTGTATGACAAAAGCATATGGCTGCCTCCTGGAAATCTTTTCCTCAACAGCTGCTTTCACTGCTTTCAATAATGAGAACATCTAAAATCTCTTGGAAGTTGGTTAAAAAAAAAAAAAAAAAAAAAAAAAAAAACAACAAAGAAACCACAAAACATACAACACACAAACACTGTGAGATGACATGCCATGCAAAGCAAGGTTTATGCTACACCTGTGTTCCCACTACCTACCCACCTAAATACTGGGCTAGCCTGGCTGCAGCACAATCAGCTGAGCATACTGCAAGATCTCAACCTGGATCACACACTGGAAGCAAGAGGGTGCCTTTCCAGGCAGCAGCAGCCAATCACAGGAATGGGCTGGTTTGTTTGCTTTTGTTTGAGGTTTTTTTTTTCCCCTGCACAGAAATCCTCGCCATTCC